GTTGACCATTTCCGCTCCCTTGGCAGCCACCTCTCCACCAAAGTCAACATCGACACTGAAATACAACACCGCCTGAGCTCTGCGAGTGCAGCATTTTTCTGAATGAACAGAGAGTGTTTGAGGATTGGGACATCTGTAGGGAGCAAACAATGCACAAGTATCTATAATGACATAGAACAGAAATATATGTATGTAAATCTAAATAGACTCTCAAGACAGTAATATACAGCAGTATTCTGTGTTCTCTATTAGTATAACTTGTCTGAGAATTTATACATAAAACAAAATTGTTATCAGCACATTATTATAGAGAAATAAACAACAGACTAAAGATAATAAAGTCCATCCTTTCAGTGAAGGAATTAAAAGGTCTCTATCTTTATCTTCAAAAGAATTCTTCTTTTGGCAAGATAGTCTCAAGGAATTCTTCTTTAAGCAACACAGTCTTTCTAGGCAACAAAATCTCAGTCTCAAGGAATTCTTCTTAGGTAACACAATCTTTCATAGGCAACAAAATCAACAAGGTCTTCCGGTTTGTTATCCTTGTTTCGAACAAATATCTTCCTCAGGGTGTAGTCTGTTATAATATTATGCTTAGTGCACTAAATAGGGAGAAGAAATAACATACACAATAGATACATGAAACTCCCAAAATAACATTGCTAGAAAAACATTTAGTAATAACAGTAAAGAAACACGCTACTCTACTTACATTCTCTTCAGCAATACAGGCTCTGTTGTAGTAGGAGTTCTATAACGAGCAATGAGGTAAGGATTGGCTAACACTTAAGTAGAATTACATCTCACAAGAAACAAGTGTATTCAATTTTGTCATTTAGTCCTAGAGGAACCAGTGTTTGTAGTTTAAAGATCCAATAAGATTCCCTTTGCAGAAGGAGTTTTTTTACATCCGCATTTGGTCTGGGTAATATTTTTTCCAAAGCGCAAAATTTAAAACTATGGTGTGTATGTGCTTTTTCATTAAAATGTACATATAGTGAAGAGTCAGTGGACCCATTCCTTATGCGTGACCGATGTTCATTTATCCTAATTTTAAGGGGTCTAGTAGTTATACCCACATATAATAATTTGCAGGGGCATTCTAATAGATATACTACATTATCACTGGAACATGTTGTCAAATGTTGTAATGTGACCTTGATATTGAGTGTAGGGTGAGAGTATATTTTACTCTTAAGTGATTGTTGGCAGCAGTTACAATGTCCACAGCTAGTGTGCCCCCTAGTGGTGGGTTCATGAGATGTATTGGAAGAGTTATATTCAGAGTGGATCATGAAGTCCCTTAAATTTCTGGATCTTTTGTGGGCAATAATAGGTTTGTCTTTGCATCCAGGAATGTCCTGTAGTAAATGCCAGTGTTTTGAAATAATCCTAGTGATTTTGGATGAATTTTGTGTCAATGTCAAGGGCCATATTATGCGGTTGTTATGTTTTCTAGGACGTTCCTGTAGTAATTCCCCTCTGTTGATGGAGTTTGCATTACCTCATTGCTCGTTATAGAACTCCTACTACAACAGAGCCTGTATTGCTGAAGAGAATGTAAGTAGAGTAGCGTGTTTCTTTACTGTTATTACTAAATGTTTTTCTAGCAATGTTATTTTGGGAGTTTCATGTATCTATTGTGTATGTTATTTCTTCTCCCTATTTAGTGCACTAAGCATAATATTATAACAGACTACACCCTGAGGAAGATATTTGTTCGAAACAAGGATAACAAACCGGAAGACCTTGTTGATTTTGTTGCCTATGAAAGATTGTGTTACCTAAGAAGAATTCCTTGAGACTGAGATTTTGTTGCCTAGAAAGACTGTGTTGCTTAAAGAAGAATTCCTTGAGACTATCTTGCCAAAAGAAGAATTCTTTTGAAGATAAAGATAGAGACCTTTTAATTCCTTCACTGAAAGGATGGACTTTATTATCTTTAGTCTGTTGTTTATTTCTCTATAATGTGCTGATAACAATTTTGTTTTATGTATAAATTCTCAGACAAGTTATACTAATAGAGAACACAGAATACATCTGTAGGGAGACCAAGGTGCTTGTCTATAAAGCTATTGTCCTCCCAACCCTGCTCTATGCCTGTGAAACGTGGACTGTCTACAGACATCACATGCAACTCCTGGAACAATTCCATCAGCGCTGCCTCCAGAAAATCCTGCAAATCTCTTGGGAAGACAGGCGGACAAACATCAGTGTGCTGGAAGAAGCAAAGACCACCAGCACTGAAGCGATGGTCCTCCGCCATCAACTCCACTGGACCGGCCACGTTGTCCGGATTCCTGACCACTGTCTCCCAAACCAGTTGTTCAAAATAAATAAATAAATATAGTTCACCTACAATCAAAGAGCATTCTGAACTCCAGCAATGATAGAATTGCCACACTTCCCACACAAAACCCCCCATGACCAACAGAAAATACTGGAAGGGTTTGGTGGACATTGACTTTGGGTTTTGGAGTTGTAGTTCACCTACATCCAGAGAGCTCTGTCTACTCACACAATGATTGATCTGGACTAAACTTGGCACAAATACTCAATATGCCTAAATGTGAACACTGGTGGAGTTTGGGGAAAATAGACCTTGAGATTTGAGATTTGGGAGTTGTAGTTCATCTATATCCAGAGAGCACTGTCTACTCACACAATGATTGATCTGGACTAAACGTGGCACGAATACTCAATATGCCTAAATGTGAACACTGGTGGAGTTTGGGGAAAATAGACCTTGACATTTGGGAGTTGGAGTTGCAGGGATTTATAGTTCACCTACCATCAAAGAGCATTCCGAACCTTACCAATGATAGAATTGGGCTAAATTTCCCACACAGAACCTCCATGATGAACATAAAATACTGTGTTTTTTGATGGTCTTTGGGGATCCCTCTGATACCCCCTCACGACCCCCTAGTTGAGAAACACTGCCATAGATGCAGGCGAAACGTCAGGAGGGAATGCTTCTAGTGCAATGGTTCTCAACCTTCCTAATGCCGTGATCCCTTAATACAGTTCCTCATGTTGTGGTGACCCCCAACCATAACCCTCACATTATGAATCGCCATGTAAATAATGATATGCAGGATGTATTTTCATTCACTGGAGCAAATTTGGCACAAATACCCGGTATGCCCAAATTTGAATACTGGTGGGGTTGGCGGGGGGATTGATTTTGCCATTTGGGAGTTGTAGTTGCTGGGATTTATAGCTAACCTGTAAACAAAGAGCATTCTGAACCCCACCAACAATGGAATTGAACCAAAGTTGGCACACAGAATTCCCATGACCAACAGAAAATACTGGAAGGGTTTGGTGGACATTGACCTTGGGTTTTGGAGTTGTAGTTCACCTACATCCAGAGAGCTCTGTCTACTCACACAATGATTGATCTGGACTAAACTTGGCACGAATACTCAATATGCCTAAATGTGAACGCTGTTGGAGTTTGGGGAAAATAGACCTTGACATTTGGGAGTTGCAGTTGCAGGGATTTATAGCTCACCTACCATCAAAGAGCATTCTGAACCTTACCAATGATAGAATTGGGCTAAACTTCCCACACAGAACCTCCACGATGAACATAAAATACTGTGTTTTCTGATGGTCTTTGGGGACCCCTCTGATACCCCCTCACGACCCCCTGGTTGAGAAACACTGCCATAGATGCAGGCGAAACGTCAGGAGGGAATGCTTCTAGTGCAGTGGTTCTCAACCTTCCTAATGCCATGACCCCTTAATACAATTCCTCATGTTGTGGTGACCCCTCCCCCCAACCATAACCCTAACATTATGAATCGCCATGTAAATAATGATCTGCAGGATGTATTTTCATTCATTGGAGCAAATTTGGCACAAATACCCGGTATGCCAAAATCTGAATACTGGTGGGGTTGGCGGGGGGATTGATTTTGCCATTTGGGAGTTGTAGTTGCTGGGATTTATAGCTAACCTGTAAACAAAGAGCATTCTGAACCCCACCAACAATGGAATTGAACCAAAGTTGGCACACAGAACTCCCATGACCAACAGAAAATACTGAAAGGGTTTGGTGGGCATTGACCTTTAGTTTTGGAGTTGAAGTTCGCCTATATCCAGAGAGCACTCTAGACTCCAACAAGGATGGATCTGGACCAAACTTGGCACAAATACTCAATATGTTCAAATGTGAACACTCATGGGGTTTTGGGAAAATAGACCTTGAGATTTGGGAGTTGTACTTGCTGGGATTTATAGTTCACCTACAATCAAGGAGCGTTCTGAACCCCAACAATGATAGAATTGGGCCAAACTTCCCACACAGAGACCCCCATGACCAACAGAAAATACTGTGTTTTCTGATGGTCTTTGGCGACCCCTCTGACACCCCTTCGCGACCCCTCCAGGGGTCCCGACCCCCAGGTTGAGAAACACTGTTCTAGTGGTTCTCAACCTGGGGTCCCCAGATGTTTTCGGCCTACAACTCCCAGAAATCCCTGCTAGTTTGCCAGCTGTTAGGATTTCTGGGAGTTGAAGGCCAAAAACATCTTGAGAACCACGGTGGCATCCTCAAACAACCCGTTTGAGGATGCCTACAGTAGATAGGCTCTTGCAGAGGTGAGGATCCCTCAACAAGAGAGAAACATGTTGGGAGGGGGCTAGGTTTGGGATGGGCGGGGCTGGCAGGTTTTGGGAGCCACACCCCTCGGAGGGGGGGGGGAGAAAGCCACGCCCCTCTGGGCTCCAGAAGAGAAAGAGACAATCTATTAATTAGACCCTCCCCGGCTATTATTCCTAGGCAGGTGGAGGTGTCAGAGACTCCTCTCTGGCTCTGGGAGGCATTGTGAGTCCGTCGGAGAGGAAGAGGAGGAGGAGAGGAAGAGGAGGGCGAGCTGATTTGGGCGGGAGGCGGTCCGCAGGGCTGGCTCGGGCTCCTTCCTTCTCTCCTCCCTCCTTCCTTCCCAATCCCGGCCCTCCTCTCCTCTTCCTTCTCCTTCCTCCTCCTCCTCCACTTCTTCTTCTCCTCCTCCTCCTCCTCCTCCTCCTCTCCGCGCCTCCAGCAAGATGACAGCCGGGCGGCAGGAGCGGTGGCGTCGGCGCGGAGGGTCTTCGCTCCGGCTGGTAGGTCTCCCTCCTTCCCTCCTTCCCTCCCCAAAGACCGGGACAAAGAGCCAGAGCCGCCCTTCCCTTCCCTTTCCTCCGCGAAGAGAGTCACCCTTGATTGACTCTCTCTACGGAGGAAAGGGAAGGCTGGCTCGAGCTCCCACCTTCTTGGCCGGGTGGGAGCTTCTTCCTTCACCTCCTCCTCCTCCGGGAAGGGGCGGGGGTCTCTTCCTCCTCCTCCTCCTCCTCCGAAGGGTGGGGCCAAGGGGGCATCCTCATCATCATCCCCTTGGCAAGAAGTGTGTGTCCCCCCCCCTCCCTCTTCTCTCTGAGTCTCTCACTTCCCAATGCTCAGGAATGTCCAGTTGGAAGCCTGAGTACTCATCACATTGGGTTGGACGCCCCCAGACCCCAAGGGGAGGCAGCCTCCTTGGCAAGGGGACAACAAACCCCATCCCTTCTTTAGGGGTATGGTTATCATATTATTGATCTCCTTCTAAAGTGAATTAACACAGTGTTTCTCAGTCTTCCTAATGCTGCGACTCCTTAAGACAGTTCCTCATGTTGTGGTGACCCCCAACCCTAATATTATTTTTGTGGCTGCTTCACAACTGATTGAAGCTCAGGACATCCAAAGAGTAGCTTTACCAGACCAAGCTTATCATGAGCAATGGACCCACTCCCATCTATATAAATAATAATATAATCCAGTTCCTCATGTTGTGGTGACCCCCAACCCTAATATTATTTTTGTGGCTGCTTCACAACTGATTGAAGCTCTGGACATCCAAAGAGAGGCTTTACCAGATCATAGAATCAAAGAGTTGGAAGAGACCTCGTGGGCCATCCAGTCCAACCCCATTCTGCCAAGAAGCAGGAATATTGCATTCAAAGCACCCCTGACAGATGGCCATCCAGCCTCTGTTTAAAAGCTTCCAAAGAAGGAGCCTCCACCACACTCCGGGGCAGAGAGTTCCACTGCTGAACGGCTCTCACAGTCAGGAAGTTCTTCCTCATGTTCAGATGGAATCTCCTCTCTTGTAGTTTGAAGCCATTGTTCCGTGTCCTAGTCTCCAGGAAGCAGAAAACAAGCTTGCTCCCTCCTCCCTGTGGCTTCCTCTCACATATTTATACATGGCTATCATATCTACTCTCAGCCTTCTCTTCTTCAGGCTAAACATGCCCAGCTCCTTAAGCCGCTCCTCATAGGGCTTGTTCTCCAGACCCTTGATCATTTTAGTCGCCCTCCTCTGGACACATTCCAGCTTGTCAATATCTCTCTTGAATTGTGGTGCCCAGAATTGGACACAATATTCCAGCTGTGGTCTAACCAGAGCAGAATAGAGGGGTAGCATTACTTCCCTAGATCGAGACACTATGCTCCTATTAATGCAGGCCAAAAGCTTATCATGAGCAATGGACCCACTCCCATCTATACAAATAATAATATAATCCAGTTCCTCATGTTGTGGTGACCCCCAACCCTAATATTATTTTTGTGGCTGCTTCACAACTGATTGAAGCTCTGCACATCCAAAGAGAGGCTTTACCAGACCGAGCTGGAGATGTAGGGGACTTATCATGAGCAACGGACCCACTCCCATCTATATAAATAATAATCTAACCCAGTTCCTCATGTGGTGACCCCCAACCATAACATTATTTTAGTTGCGACTTCACAACTGTAATTTTGCTCCTGTTGTGAATCGTTATGTAAATATCTGATATGCAGGATGTATTTTCATTCACTGGACCAAATTTGACACAAATGCCCAATACACCGAAATTTGAGTACTGATGGAGTTGGGGGGGGGGGGGGTTATGTTGTCATTTGGGAGTTGTAGTTGCTGGGACTTATAGTACACCTACAATAAAAGAGCATTCTGAATGCCACCAACAATGGAATTGAACCAGACTCGCATGACCAACAGAAAACACTGGAAGGGTTTGGTGGGCATTGACCTTGAGTTTTGGAGTTGTAGTTCACCTACATCCAGAGAGCACTGTGGACTCGAACACTGATGGATCTGGACCAAACTTGGCATGGATACTCAATATGCTCAAAAGTGGATACTGGTGGAGTTTGGGAGAAATAGACCTTGACATTTGGGAGATGTAGTTGCTGGGATTTATAGTTCATCTACAATCAGAGAGCACTCTGAACCCCACCAACAATAGAATTAGGCCAAACTTCCCACACAGAACCCCATGACCAACAGAAATTCTGTTTTTTCTGATGGTATTTGGTGACCCCCCCCCCGACATCCCATTGTGACCCTCCCAGGGGTCCTGACCCCCAGGTTGAGAAACGCTGGACATCAAAGCATCACCATAGCCCAGGCATAGGGAAACAGAATGGGGTTGGACTGGATGACTCACGAGGTCTCTTCCAACTCTAAGGTTCCAGAGTTAAGGGGCATTTGCCATTGAGAAGGAAAGACCTGCTCTCTCTCTCTCGTTCCCACCAACTGAGCTTGAGATGGAGGTGGGACTGAGAGAAGGATCTCTCCTGAAGGAGACCTCAGGGCCTGGGCAGGTTCATACAAGGAGAACCTTTCCTCCTTCTGCCTAGAATCATGAGTTGGAAGAGACCTCATGGGCCATCCAGTCCAACCCCCTGCCAAGAAGCAGGAATATTGCATTCAAAGCACCCCTGACAGATGGCCATCCAGCCTCTGTTTAAAAGCTTCCAAAGAAGGAGCCTCCACCACACTCTGGGGCAGAGAGTTCCACTGCAGAACGGCTCTCACAGTCAGGAAGTTCTTCGTCATGTTCAGATGGAATCTCCTTTCTTGTAGAGCCAGCCCTCTATCATGCCCTACATTCACCACATGTGCATCCAGGCAAAAGCCAGTGGTCTGGAAGCATCCCCTTGCCCCAAAGAGAAGTATCCTAGAACCTCAGGGCTCTTTCAGACAGCCAGATAACCCAAAATATCAAGGCAGATAATAATAATAATAATAATAATAATAATAATAATAATAATAATAATCTTTATTTATACCCTGACACTATCCCCCCAAAGGGAACTTGGGGCAGTTATCATGAGGCCAAGCCCAAAAATAATACAGCAATAAAATACAACACAACAGAAAGATTACATCACAACAAAATACATAAAATAACAAAATAAAACGAACAGTGCAAAATAATGTAATAAAAGTCAAACACAAATGCTAAAATGTTAAAACCCTGGATGACATAGGGATAGAGGAAGTGTGCTTGTGAGGGAGGAGCCCACAAAGGAGGAGCAGTGGGCTGAGTAAAATCCCACAATATCTGCTTTGAACTGGGTTAACTGAGTCCACACCGCTATATATTCCACTTCAAAGATAATGTGGGATAATGTGTGGAAGGGGCCTTAGTGTGGGAAGCGACTCCCCAAGATGGAGCAGTGCTCAATCAAAGCACCCCGGCCCCGACAGATTAGTATATATTATATATTATATTAGTATTATAGTATTATATTTATTATACCATTTTATGTTATAGTATTATAGTAGTATTCTATTTATGGCCAGCCAGCCTCTGCTTCAAAACATCTAGAGCAGGCCTGGGCAAACTTGGGCTCTCAGAGTGCTTTGGACTTCAACTCCCACAATTTCTAACAGCCTCACGCATAAGTGGCTGAGAGAGGAAAGGAAAGAGCCTGAGACTGTTAGGAATTGTGGGAGTTGAAGTCCAAAACACCTGGAGGACTGAAGTTTGCCCATGCCAGCTTTAGAGAGCTTGGCATCAGCAATGCCTCAGCAATAGCCCCTCACAGCAGGCATGGATCTAGACTGGAATAGAATTGCGTTATTTGTCCCTTGCCGTCCCTTGCCATGTGTTGCTGTGGCCCAGTCTGTGTATATGCGTTTTGTGTGTATGTATGTGTATATGTGGTTGTGCATGCATTGTAATGTATTTTTTTGGCTTTTTAAGTCTCTTCCATTGTGTTTTTCAGTGTTTTTTTATGAGTGATGGTCACTCATTGGCCTGATAGTTGTATTGTGTCCACATTTGGTGTCAATTCATCCAGTGGTTTTTGAGTTATGTTAATCCCACGAACAAACATTACATTTTTATTTATATGGACTAGGCGTCCCCTGCCACACGTTGCTGTGGCCCAGTTTGGTGGTCATGGGGGTTCTGTGTGGGAGGTTTGGCCCAATTCTATCGTTGGTGGGGTTCGGAATGCTCTGTGATTGTAGATGAACTACAAATCTCAGCAACTACAACTCCCAAATGTCAAGATTCTATTTTCCCCAAACTCCACCAGTGTTCGCATTTGGGCATATTAAGTATCTGTGCCAAGTTTGGTCCAGATCCATCATTGCTTGAGTCACAGTGCTCTCTGGATGTAGGTGAACTACAACTCCAAAACCAAAGGACATTGCCCACCAAACCCTTCCAGTATTTTCTGTTGGTCATGGGAGTTCTGTGTGCCAAGTTTGGTTCAATTCCATCGTTGGTGAAGTTCAGAATGCTCTTTGATTGTAGGTGAACTATAAATCCCAGCAACTACAACTCCCAAATGACAAAATCAATTTTTTTGAGTGAAGGACATACACTGGGTTGTTAGGTGTCTTGTGTCCAAATTTGGTGTCAATTTGTCCAGTGGTTTTTGAATTCTGTTAATCCCACAAACAAACATTACATTTTTATTTATATAGATTGTGCTATTGCACAGCAATATTGCATGCCTTCCCCTGCACAGAACACAAAACAACACAATCCATCCCTCCACACACACCTCCACCACCCCATAGCCCCCAATGCTACATTAAAACTCAGCATAGCCACAACTCTGGATAAAAGCTATCCCTCGATCTGTTTGTCCTTCTCTTTGTCACCCTGTACTATCTGCCAGATGGCAATAATTGGAGTTTTGCCTCCTGAGTTCTGGTGCCAGGGATAAAGACCATGGTAGGAGGAGATGCTGCTTGTCCTGACCCCACACATCCCTCTTTTGAGGAAAGGGCCACTTCCTGCTTTCTCATCAGAGCTCAACATAGCTATAGCTCTAGGACAGTGGT